CCGAGGTGCAGCCACCACCACCGACCCCATTTCGAGGGTCCCTGAGCCCACCAGACCCCAAAAAAAGCAGGATGGGTCCAAGCTGGATGAAGCACTGCTCTGCAGAGCGGGGCCTGGCTTTTGCACATCACTACCGTCCAAAATCACCCGGGGTTAATTTTTAATCCTCTGTGCTGATGCCTCTGCTCTCTCAACTGTCCCCCATGTTCCCAGAAAAGCGTTTTGGGGACTCAGGTGGGTGTATTTGGAAGAACATAACCGCTTGCAAAGGCTGTTCATAGGAGGCAAGTGCCCTGAGCTGTTCGGACTGAGCATCCTACCGACCTCCCCAAGGGTCCCTGATCCCTGCAGCCCCGTGCAGGGGGTCCCAGCCCCCAAGTTTTGTGCATGGAAACCCCAGACAACATCCCCTGGTGACCCTCACCTCACCCTCCTGGGAGATATTTGGGGTAGAGATGGGGAAAAGCTGCCAGAGATGCGGGTATGGGTTTATTCCACAGCGCTGGGTTTGTTCTGGCCGGGTATAGGAGTAATTGAAAAAAGGCTTCGGTGAAATAACGCGGTGGGGACGGGGCTGGCAGGAGCTGCCATCCCATCCTGCTCCCGAACAGGGACCCCCGGCACTCGTGTGGTCTTTTTAAGCCAGTCAGGGGAAGCTTGGGAAACAGGTTTGCACTTGGGGAAACTGAGGCACGGAGCGTGAAAGAGGCCAAACATCCTAACAGCTCCACAAGTAACAGCTTCTGCCTCCTAAAGCTACACCTCCCAATCCCTCCTGGCCTTTCAGACCGACAGCAAACCCCTTCCCTGCTGCCAAACCCTCTTGCCTGATTTCTTGAGCTCGTTTAGCAAGGGGTTCGCCCGCCTCGAGCAGAGCCCTCGGCACGAGGACCGCGGTCTCATCACCGGCGCAAAGCCGTGGCTGGGATTTCTGCAGGAGCGACGGGGATGGGGAAGGGGAGAAACATATAAAACCCAAAGTAAAAAACCCAGTGCAGGGATTTTCAGTTTTAATTTTCCTTGGAGCACCTAGTCCCTGAAAGGATGATTTCCCCCCTCCGAAAGAAACCCCTTTTTCTGCCACGGTTTGAGCTCAGCTGCGCTTTGCTCTTCTCTCCATCCCTCCCAGCCCACGCAGCCCCCGCACCCAGCTGCCCACGAGCTCCAGGGCTGCTTGGGTTTGGGCTGGGGGGGGCCCTGGGATCACTGGTGGTCTGGGGTGGGCACGCTGGTGGTCTGCACCGAGCCAACGGGTTGCACGGCTCTGGCTTCGCCTCGTCGTTTCCAGCTGGTAAATGTCCTTAATCGACGCTGAAAAATCCATGGCACCGTTCCTGCGATGCCTTTTCCACGGTGCCGGAGCTGGAACAGGAGGAGGTGGGAGGGAGGGGGCCAGGGGTGACCCCGGGTCGGGGGGGGGAAGCAGAAGATGGTGGGTTTGGGGTGGCAGGAGAGGTGGAGGAGAAGGGGATGGGAGGGAGGTGGGGGGAATGTAGGAAGGCACTTAAGAAACGGCACAGAGCTGGGCTGATCAGGGGCAATACAAATTGGTGAGGGGAATTAGGACACCCCGGGTTTGCCTCATGCATCAGCGCTGTCTTAAGGAAGAAATAAGTTCAGGTCAGCACGGCCAGGGCTGCAAATGCCCTGCTCCCACCCCACAGGATGCAGCATCTGCGGGGAGCATCCCTACCCCGGGGATACAGCCTTTTGGAGAGCATCCCTACCCCGGGGCTGCAGCATCTCGGGGAGCATCCCCGGTCCTGGGGTCCCCCACGAGGCAGCTGGGTGCTGGCAGGCACACAACCCACCCCCACAACCCCCCCCGGGCTCCAGCAGCCGGGTTTTGGCCCCCGGTCGCTGCTTTCCCTCCGGAGCAGCCTGGCACAATAGCTCATTGTGGGGCCGGCTTTCAAGCGAGGCCAGAGAACGGCAGCGCTCGCCGGCGCGGGGGGAAAGGGCCGCTGGAGGAGCCGGAAAGTTGCTGTTGGACGGCGTTCAGAGGCCTGGGAGCAGCGGGAGGGAGCCGGCCGCGGAAAGCAAACAGCGCGTGGAAGCGGAAAGTGCTGACTCCAAAAAGGCATCCCCGGCACCACCACCCCGGGCACGGCGAGCCCCGGGCGAGTGAATAAGGCCCAAAGGGCCTAAATAGCTCCCAACAGCTTTAAAACTCCAGTTATTCTGGTGTGAGGCCCTGCCTGGTCCCAGCAAGCACCCGGCCATGTGCGTGCAAGGGGGCGCGTGCATCTGCACGTGCGTGCGTGCCCCGCATCGCCAAAGGAAGGAGCAAAGCTCATCGCCTCACCGCTGCAGCGCCCCATTCCACCTCCTCACACCTCTCCCCCCCCCCATTTTTCTGCTGCCTTCCCCTGTGTTCACGTTTCTCCTCTTTCACCGCCTCCTTCCACCTCTCTTGTTCTATTTCAGAGATTTCTAGATAGCCCTTCCCTTAGTTTAGTCTTCAGTAATTTCAGTTCCTGTTTCAATCTCTCTTTATTTCCCTCAAGCGCCAGTTTAGATGTCTCATTTCAAGACACCGACCCGAAAAAGACCCGTTTTGCTCTCTGGCCTCTGTTCAGAGCAGCAGCTCTCGGCGTGTGCGGCTGCTTTCGAGCGTGCAAAACCCCCTCCACCCCGCAAGCGCCAGCCCCCAGCCCCCGGGGATGGGCTGCCTCCTGCTCCTCTGCGCTACGGGATGCATCTATCCCTGGACATATGTATGCTGGAGTCTGGAAAAACCCTGCTTGCTGCTCTTGGCTTTGTTTAAATCATGCGCCTGAGCAGCCACACAACAGCACCTGGGGTCAATAAGCCGTGCAAAATCCTCCTAAAGGTGCAATTCCCCCAATGGGAAGGTTTTTCCTGCTGGGGAGCTCATCCCTCCCAGCAAACCCCTTTCTCTTAACCTAAATTTGGACTTTTATTAACAGCTTGCTGGCAGGATGCACTGCTGCAACAGCCGGGGATTGCTTTTGGGGGTGCAGAGCGCCAGCTCCCTCCCCAGGCTCTGCTTCCCCAAATCTCCTAAGCAGGTTATTGCACCCGGTGCTGGCACGGAGAGCCTCGGCGGGGGAAAAGGAGATGGGAAGACAGGGCAGGGGCATCAAGGGGGGAGCGTTTGCTTCACCCACCCCCCCGGTGCTTCCTTTGGGGGAGCGGGGAGGTGGGGTGCTCGGCTGCCAGGGCCGTTAACTGCTGGCCCTCATTTCCCTAGGGGGTACCCCAGGTGCGCGGGGGCTTCCCCCGCCTGGCCACCGGCTGGTATTTTTAGTGCAAGCGTTGAAGCAATCATCTGCAATTCGCCGGGGGGTGGGGGGGACGGGGGGTGGGAGGGTGGGGGGGGACACAGGACGGGACACACGCACGCACGAGAGGGTGCCTGTGGCTCCGCTTCGGTTTTTAATTCCTCTCCTTCCCTCTCCCTTGCAAGGACCAGCAGCATCCTCTGCTTTTGCAAGAGCTTGCAGAGTGCTGCGGGCTTCCCCTGCTCGCCTAGCCCTTCGGTAAAAGGGGCAAAACCCCCCGCAAAGAGCCGGGGCACGGTCACCTCTTTGCTTTTGAGCGTCTCCCCCCCCCCCCCCCTCCCCGCCCCCGGCCCCCCAAAAAGCCGCCGACACGGAGCAGCTGCACGGAGAGTTGAAAGCGGCGGATGGGAAAGGAGCTGCACTCGCTGTTTATTTACCCAGGGCGGCCGGGCTCTGCCGAGCATGAGGCCACACGGCCGGGCCTGGCAGCTCCTGCTGCGATGAAAAGAGCGACGACGGCACGCTCAAGGTCCCGCGGCGGGCTCGCGTCTCCAAGCCAAGGATGGAGCGGGCCGGGTGCTCGCCGGCCCCAGGGGTGTCCCCGTTTTGGGGGCTCACCCAGCCTCTCCGCCAGACCCTGGTGTCACTAAGGTCGGGCGTCAGCTGAGCTTTCGAAAGCCGGGGGTGTCCCACAGGGACACCGCTGTGATGCCACGGGGACCATCGTGGTTCTCCACCTCTCATCCTTCAGTCCTTCCCTGGGACACGGCGCTTCCTGCCTGGCTGGAAGCTGAGTTACTATAAATGGAGTTATTCTAAATATCCCTTATCCTGGATTCATCCGTTGCGTCCTCTTTACGCCGACGACTTGTCCGCCCTTCTTGGTATTCAAGGCATCTGGGCGCTGCGTTTCTGAACGCTTGGTCTAGCCCGCTCCCTGATGATTCAAGCAAACAAGCGCCAAGGATGCTGCCCTCTGGGAATTTCCCAGCACTCGTCGCCGGCCCTGTGAATAAGCGTCGGCTCCTGGTCCGTGAACCTCCCCGAGATGCCGTCCTCATTAATCAGCACTTCCAGACCTACACGCTAACGGGCTCCAAACAACCCCCCCCGTCCACTTAAGGCACAAGACGGATTTCCTCCTGGCTTGGTGAGGACAAGGGGGGATACCCAAGCCAGCATAAAACTCACAGGGAAAGAGAGAAGGTGTAAAAATAGATGTATTTTTCAAAGGTCTGAAGCGCAACGGCCTGATTTGATCTCCCAGGAGGAGGTTTCTCCTCCAGACGGACCACAGCCCGAGGTCTCGAGGCGGAAAGCAGCGGCGAGGGCGAGCGGGCGGCCCCGGGGCTTTGCGGGTTGGCGGCCTCTCTTTCACAAGAGCCCCATGAAGAGAAACGTTCCTCTAAAAAGTCATTTGGGGGGGTAAGCCACAGGTAGCCCGAGCTGCCAGGGGCGACTGAGGATGCACGGACCGTTCTGAACGGGTGGAGTCACCCCTGGGACAGCGGAGCCGAGCGGCGACGGCGTCCAAAGAGCCGGAGAGGGCAACCCACGAGGCTGGCGGGGCACAGCATCCCCCTTCTCCCACCCCCCACGCCCTATAACCACGCAATTTTGTTTTAATAATGAAAAAAAAAAAAACAAAAAAACCCACAGAAGTTGCCGGGATTTCTAAGGTTTTGCATTGTTTTTCCACTTTGCTCCCCGAATCTAAAGAGTAAAGGCAACAAATAAGCACACTGACACCGAGGGTTAGGAATTACTCTTCTTTTAATTTCACATGGTTTAAAATACGATATGAAATAAGGCTACAGTATATAAAAAACTCTCCAGCAAAATGATGTGCCAGCATCAGCAATTAAAACCAAACCAATCCCCTCCTTTAAGAATTCAATGTAGGAGGGATTTTTTTTTTTTTTGTATCTTTTAAAAACAAAACAAAACAAAACAAAACACAACACACGGACACACACACACATCGCTACATCTCTAAGCTACCTCAGCTCAGTTTTTTTAAAAAGCACCTGCTTTTTCCTTTTTTTTTTTTTAATCTCGCTTTTAAAATTTTTTTCCACTTTTAAAAAATATAAATTATATGAAAATACAAGTTGGAAAATAGTCAAACAGCACAATATAACAATCTCTCTTTTTTTTTTCTTCTTCTATGTTTATCAGCTTAAAAAAAAAAATCCCATGTGTAAAAACAAAAAGAAAAAAAAAGACTTTTTTTTTTTTTTTTTTTTTTTTACTGAGGCAGTTAATTCCTGGAGATATTCCATTATAACATATATGTATACATAGATTTATCATTTATTTAAACCTCTTTGGAATGTAGACAACAGCTCACGGATGTTATATAGACCCTACCAGAGAGCAGAGCACGCCAAGGCATCCAAATTTCGTGACGTTAATGAGGAACAAAGCAACCAAGCCCTAAAGCCTCACAGAAAACCTCTCCAGAAGAGCAAGAGACGGAAGATGGGGATGTTTCCTGCAGCATCTGAATTTACTGGTGCTTACTGGGACCTTTTTGGGGGGAGGTGTTGGTTTGGAAAGATGTGAGAAGGTTAAAATCATACAGTATCTTTTATTTCTTGCCCTCTTTGGGTATTTCTCCACCCAAATGATGACATCTGGAGCGGGACGGTGGTAGAGTGGAAATTAAATGGAGCTACACCTGCACACACACGAGTGCCCAAGGGTCACGGTCATCCTACACACAAAGGGAGAGACGGGCAGCAGAGAAAGCACTTGCATTTTCCAACAGGTTTTTGGTTTTTATCTTTTACTGAGGTCCCAAATATCGACTGCTGAGCCCCCAGAAAGCTGTTTGCAAGCGCATCGCTCCCAAGGTAGGGCTCAGGCTCTGCCGGGGAGGAGAGGCAAGGGGGACGTGCCCCCACGCAGAGAACAGCAGATCACAAGCAGGACACAGAAAATATTAAAAAAAAAAAAAAAAATCACCAAAAGCACCTGAGACATTCCAAAACATGACAAAATTACCCAATTTCTAAGAGCCATGTGTACCCGCCGAGGGTGAAGCTTGTCCCCGTGCAGAGAAACCAGCACAGGAGCGAGTCCCACCCCAGGCAGATCTCCACCATCCCTCTCTAACCCATCCTCCTGGCCCAGCACGTGTGAGTGGGGTTAACCAAATTTTCGTGGCTTCAAAGAACGGGTCAGAGGGTTTGGGTTCCAGCACATCCCTCGCCAAAAGTCAACATGCAATTACAAAGCAGAAAGAAGTAAAAAAAAAAAAAATCAAAATCCAAAAAAAAAAAAAAAGGAACAAAAACAAATCTGCAAATTTCCAGTGTATAAACAGCACACAGCCCTCTCCGGGATGGTCTCTAGACTAGGAATGAAAAATAAGAGGAAAATAGAAAATGATGAACCTGCTGTCCCTAGGATTGTACTGCCCTTTTCCTGCTGCACCCACACAAAGGCTGCGAGCTGGGATGGCAAACAGCCGGGAGAAACGATGGCGAAGCGCCAGCCAGGGGCTACTTCCAAAAAAAAAGAGCTGCTTTTCATGACTCGCCCTTTCTCACCTTTAAACCACCTCCCCAAAGTCACTGGGAACGCACAGGTTCAGCTTGGAAACCTGGAAAAAATAAACCCGGTGGAGCAGACAAGGGATTTAGCCTGGCAGAAGGATGGGGCTGGCACCCGAACCTGCGGTTCCTTCTGTCGGAGGGAAATTTTATCCCTGTTTTCCGCTTGAAAAAGGCACTTCAGCTGCAGTGGAGCATCCGAGCAAAGCAGGAGACGTGTCCTGGGACACGGCGCGGTGCCGAGGGCGGGAGGGAGGGCGCCTTTTCTAAGGGTGTAAGGGGGATTTTTCAAAGCACCGCTAGCAGTGGCCCGTGAAGGGTAAGCTAAGGGCACCCCCGCAGCTGCGTGCAAAGGCAGCAACCCCGGAACGCCTGCGAAAACCCACCTGATTGCTGACAATCCAACCCCTACGGTACGTCCCGTTGGGATGCTCTTTAACTACTCCTCCCCTGCACGCTTCCGCGCTCTCACCTCTTGCCTGACTCCCTTTTCGGCCAGCTCAGCGCCTGCGGCGAGCCTGGACCCCGCGGCCGAGCTCTGCCCCGGCGCCTCATCCCCCGTATCTTGTTTTCCTCTCCTCTCCCCAGCTCGGCCGAGATGCTTTCTCCCATCCTCCTTGGCTGCTCGAGGAGACGAGCTGAGGTTTAACCTCCCAAGGGGCAGCACCCCTCTCCCCCTTTGGTGCATGCTCCTTTCAACCTCCCTTTCGCCCCCTTTGCCTTCCCTCCCGTCCATTTTCCCTCCGTACGCTCAGTGGGATGGTGCGCAGCCCCCGTGAGCGAACAGCACAGCTAAGAACCCCCCCCCTACCTAAACCACCTTCTGCGTCCATCCCCCTTGGCTGGAGCTCCCTCTTGGCCCACTCATTTCCTCTCCACCACCACCTTTTTTTTTTAAGCACGCGGCAGTTTCGGGGTCGACTTGCCCCCAAATGACCAATTGGGGATACAGAGGTGCTGGGTGCCCCCCAGGCCCGGAGGAAAACCTCGGAGCATCCCCTTGCCCAGGGGCCGAGCTCCCCATCCAGCACTGCCGCTGCACGGGAGGAGGGGGCGGGGGGGGTATGTGCCTGAATATTTTGGCTCTTTGCACGCAGAGTCCTGCCCTGCCGACCCGATACATCAGCCTGTATCAGGCAGGCGTGGCCCGGCGAGCAGATGCCCCCCACTGCTGTCCCACAGTGCCTCTGTAATGAACACGATTACCTAAAACACACAGGCGGACAGACAAACGACACAAAAAGAAGGTACTTTTGGTTCAAACACATAATACTGTCTTTAGAAAGAGAAAGCCCAGCGGCTCCCTGGGGTGAGAGGCCCCGTTTGGCAGTGGGATCCGCGCGGATCCGGCTTCGGGGTCGGAGCTGGGTGTGGGAACGCTCACCGCCCGACCCTCGGACTCTCAGAGCATCCCGGGAAGTGCTCGGTGCCGCGGGATTTACCCCTCTCTGAACGCAAACCAGTTGCAAAAAGTTTGGAGGACAGACGGAGCAGCCCCGGGACTGATCCTGCAACCATCTGGGGCAAGCACACGAGACCTCTCGTTTACCCCAGCGACACCGGTCGTATGCTTCATGTTAATCACACCCTGCCAGGGTTGGCAGGATCAGGCTTACAAAGAGCAGTAAAGAACCCATTTGCAAGGACAATTTCCTTTCTGCGTGTGCCCAGAGTGGTTTAGACATACAGCAATAAAGATAGAGCTGGTCGAAACAGGAAGGAAAAAACATTTCCCTTTGGCTTTTCAACTTTTTCCTGATTTTCTCCCCCCAATCCACTTCTATAATTTCCATTTACCACATTCAGAACAAGAATTTCTCCCTTTTCCCCCTCAAAAAACCAAAAAAACAACAACAAAAAAAAAAACAACCCTCCAAATTTTCTGAAAGCACCAAAGTGTTCCTTGAGCAAAAAAGTCATTTGGAAAACGCAAAAAAGACATTTTCCCCGCAAACCTTGGTAGGTTTCTTGCACAAAACGCAGCCGTACAAAAAGGCTCCTTTTTTAACCACAACCAAAGCAGAAATTTCAACCAGCTTTATCAGCAAATGGCGGAGCAAAGCGTGTGGGACTGGAAGCAAGAGCGGCACACCCAGCCAGGGTTACTAGGAGCCAGCTTGGAGTTAATTTTCCTTCACTTACGATTCGGAGACGCCGAGTCGTAGTGCTACACATCTCCAGTGGGGTCTACATAAATTCTTTTTTTTTTTTTTTTTTTTTTTTTAAATTTTTTTTTTTTTCCTCACTGTGATAAAACTCTCTGCTGGCATAACAGAAACAAACACACACAATATTGCAATACTGAGACCATCTTAGAGCTTAAGACTATTTAAAAAAAAAAAAAATACTGGCACAAAATTTAATAAAATAAAACTTTAACAAATTAAAAAAAAAAAAAAAAGTCTTGATCCCTCCTATAGCAAAAATTCTCTCTTTTGTAGAAAAGAAGACAACCGACAGAAAGGCGATGTAACAAGAACGACAAACAGTTCTTGGTTCTTTCCTATATTGCCCCTCCCCGAAGCAGGAATATTCACCCACTTTGGTTTTCCCTCCCTGCCCCCCAAAAAAGTTTAAAATCCTCAAATCCTCAGGAACACTGTTATTTCCTGAACTGTCACTTTGTGCATGAATAACACAAAACCCAAAGGGATCCTTTTGATAATATTTTTTCTAAACAGCAAGGGATGGGGAGGGGTTGTTTTTTTTTTTTTTCAGTGAGCTACATTTTTCTGGCTTTCTTAAAACTCAGAATTTTACCCCAAAAAAGCCTGTCTTGGAGCTTTCAGATAAAAAAAAAAAAAAAAAAAACAAACAAAAAACCATCTTTCTCCGAACCAAACTTTTTTAGGTTTTGGTCAAAAGTTTGACGCTTCTGCCACCCTCTCTCCCAACATCCTCGAAAGTATCAAATCTGAGTTGCTCTTTTTTTAAAATAGAAAAAAAAAAAAATAACGAACAACAAAAATAACAGCAAAAATTTAAAAAGAACCAACAGAAAAGAGGTCCCATCGACTCTCCAAAATGCCACGGGGCGCTCCTCCGCCCCGGCTGGCCACCTTCACTCATCGGCATCTGGTTTGACGTCCAGCATGGCGTGGAGTTCCTCCGGCGTGTAGCCCAGCAGGCTCTGCAGGTCGCAGACGAAACGGTAGACGTAACGTTTCCCGGCCGTCTTGTGGATGATGTTCTTGTCGTAGTAGTAACGCAACCCGCGGCTCAGCTTCTCGTAGTTCATCTTGGGTTTGTTTTTCCTCTTGCCCCATCGCCTGGCCACCTGGGGGGAAGGGTGAGGAGGGTCAGTGGCGGGGCGGGGGGGATGCACGTTGCAGGGAAGGGAGAAAAAAAAAGAAAAAAAATAGAATAAAATCAATCTGGGTTGGTTGGGCAGCCAAAGGCAAGCAGCACACAAGGGAAGGGAGAGCACCTTCCTCATCTTTGTAAGGTGGGCACCGAGGGGTCACAATCGTTGGGAAAACCAACGCTCATGGAATGGCAGAACGTTGGAGAAGACTCTATGAGGACATCCAAGTCAAGGAAGGGAACAAATGTCCCCAACTGTTTCCCAAACTCCGTGGGAATTCCCCCTCTCACCTGTACGCGTCCTGTTTGAAGAGCTTTGGCGACACATCTCTTTCTACGGTGTTTCAGCTGCTTCCCACAAACTTTGGGAAGAAATTAACTGATTCCTAGGTATTACTGTAGCCCGATTTTTGTCAGGTTTTCAGCCGGGCTCTAATTAATTTGGTTTCCCCTACACATACCCAAGACCAGAACAACGTAACCGCCCCAACCTCATCCCTGAAGGGAGGAGGGGAGGGTTATCCACTACATCCAAATATCCACTGTATCCAATATTTCAGCGGCATTTGGACTGTGTGTTTAATTCCAAGGCACTCTACCTCGTCTGGGTCGGAAAGTTTGAATTCCCAGCCATCGCCCGTCCAGCTGATGAAGGACTGACAGGACTTGTCAGTGAGCAGTTCCAGCAGGAATTGCCACAGTTGGATGGGTCCGCTGCCTAGAAAGACAAAGGAAACATGAGACATTAATGCCAGGGAAAGCACGGCCCCTTCTATCCCAGGAGATGAAAAAAAATCCCATGCAAACAGTGCTCGCTGGAAAAAAATAAAACCTTTTGCCATCAAAAAAAACCCATCAGCAGCCACAGGGTAGGATCCGGGCTGAGATGACAGCTTGAGAGTTAAATTCTGCAGGTAAAAGAGCTTCCTATTTGCAGTAAGAGCTGAATATTCATGCACTGGAATGCTTCACTTCGAGTTACATAAATAGGATTATTTTTCTGGCAACCAAACAGCGAGGAGTCATTGTCTTGGCACAAGGGCACCACCGTTTCCTCCGTGCCAAAAAGCTGCCGGCCATTGCATGAACTCCGGCAGACTCCTGTTTCCCGACCTTGACTCTTTGCTCCGTCGCTGTTTACCGAGATAAGGGGGGGGGGGGGACCCAGGTATGAAAATTATTTGGCCTCTTCCCAGGGCGTGTTGCTGCAGGAATGGGCTATGCCAGCTCGCAGAGCTCAGTGTAGGGAAGGCAGCGGCTGGCTGGCTCGGCAGACAGATCTCCCCAGCTCCGGACTGGTGGATCTCCCCAGACCCGGACTGGTGGATCTCCCCAGCTCCGGACTGGTGGATCTCCCCAGCTCCGGACTGGTGGATCTCCCCAGCTTCAGACTGGTGGATCTCCCCAGCTTCAGACTGGTGGATCTCCCCAGCTCCAGACTGGTGGATCTCCCCAGCTCCGGACTGGTGGATCTCCCCAGCTCCGGACTGGTGGATCTCCCCAGCTCCAGACTGGTGGATCTCCCCAGCTCCGGACTGGTGGATCTCCCCAGCTACAGACTGGTGGATCTCCCCATCATGGTCTTGGCATGGTCTTAGCAAACCTCCCTGCAGCGGCTGGTTCCCCTAATCCATCCGAAGAGGCACGAGGCGGCGTGCAGCATCCCGTGCCACGGATGTTCAGCCTCTCCTTCCAAGGCTGCGGTCCCCATCTTTCCCCTGGCTGCTAATTTTGGCCAAGAGCAATTTGCCCCCGGGGACCTGAGCCCAACACATCTAACCTACAGCACTCCTACCACCCTGCTTTTGGCTGGATTCATGGTGTACGGGGAATGATTTCAAAATATTTCTCTCCTCTTTGCACCCAGTCAAAGGTAGAGGAGAAGCCCTGGAGCCAAAAATCTCTTTGATGAGCAACTTCCAAATGTGGCCGCACCCAAAATATTGCACTAAGCTCTGGGCAACGTGTTTTGGGAGTGATGCTGCTATGTTTTAAACGCAACGTAGACTGTATCACTAATAATGACAATAATAAAAATACTAGTAATATTAATAAACAGAGCCAGAGGTTAGAGAAAATGATTTATCACAAAAAGAATTGCACAGGCTGGATTAGAATGACAGGCTGGGGTAAACCTGACACCAATGAGCACAGGCTTCCACCAGGGAAAAAAGAGCTACGTACTCAGAAAAAGGGCTGGAGAACAGCCTATTTCCACGAATGACAATGAAGGTTGTCAGAGCTGTGGCTGCCCCAGAGGGAAGAGAGGGCTGCTCCCCCTTTTCCACAAGGTTTAAAATGACTCAGAAGCAGACAAGCTGCTGGGGAGGAGGAAATGAGAGAGCTGGCTCCGGGACAGGGGAATCACTATGCCCCGTCCAGCCCTCCCCAAATTGTTTCCCTCCTGTTATCCCCAAGGAACCGCTCCAGGGTTTTGCAGGCATCGGGTCCTCCGCCAAGCCCCGGAGGTTATCGCACAGCCACGGGCAGGACAAAGCAGGGAGCTCACAGCATCTCTCTGCTTGGAAATGGGAAGACGACACTCAGCGGGGAAAGGCTCCAGCCCTTCGTTCTCGGCAGGAGCTTGCCAAGACGTTGACTCCACGACCGCGCTCTTGGGTAGGGATGGAGCTGGGTTATCCACGCCAAAACGAGGGAGGAAATTCAGATGACGCCTTCGCCTCTCATTTGAAAGGGAAGAGCCAAACCCCTGAACTGAAATGCCACCGCATCTCAAAGCTCAGAGCTATTTATAGCAGCGAGCTTTAAATACAGAGGAAACGTTGGGCAAAAAGGTTATTTCAGCCGCCTGAGGACCTCCAGGGGGAATCACAGGTGAATTCACATGGAGCTGGTTTCTCTTGGCCCGTCTGACTTTACACCAATTCCCTACACAGACACAGAGAGCATCCAACACCCAAATCAGGTTAACGGAGACAAGAGGAGACAAGACTGAAGCAAGACCACGTGCATCCCCTCACATGGATTTCTCTCCTGCCCAACCACAGAGCAAGGATTTATTTTATTTTTTTTTTTTTAATTCCTTCCCCAAAATAAGACGGATGGAAACTCATCACCTAGGCGCCAGGTTCTTGGGTAAGCATATGCCCTCAAAATATCCCTGGGCCACCCCGGCTCTGCGGGAACCTTTCAAGGTTCAAGTGTCGTTAACCCCGAGCCAAGCGGCCGGCACGGTTGACGCTTGGTGCTCGCAGCTCGGCTGCCAGCTGGCACGGAGAGGTGTCAGGAAACCCAGCAATTTCTCTCCCTCTCTCCAGCAAGCGAGGTAGGGTTCCTGCTGCTGCGCCGGGTGCCGCTCTGCTGGGTATTTTGGGATTTTGAAGGAAGCGGTGTCATCCTTGGAACAGGGATTCCCAAGGTCTATTCCGAGCTGCCTGCGGGCCGCGCGTAAAACCCCAAATTCCTCTCTGTTGGACAAGCAATTATGTCAAGAATGTGTTTACTGCAGGGCTTGCAGGCATGTCTCAGCTCCTATAAACACACGCCCTGCCAGAGGGGAAGGCAGCAGAGGCCCTGCATTTCGGGCACGACTCCGAAATGTCAGCGAGGCGGGCGATGCACGAGGTGGCAGGAACCAAACCCCGGCACATGCCCCAGCCTGCGTGTGCGAAAACAGCTCTGGGGAGACCACAGGGTAGGAAGACAAAATGATCTGGGAAGGGGTGCTGGAGGCCCGTGCACCTCGGGTGGGCCAGAACAGCTGTAATTAGTGCTGGGAGGACAATCTTCAGCAATGAGCTTCTTTAGCCTGCTCTGCAGACCAGCAGGGGGTTATTCTTCCCGATGTCTAAAAGGATTTCACGGTGACGTTTGGCTCATGCGGGGATGCCACCCCCGGGACGTCGCGTCCCCAGAGCTAGCAGGGCAAGCATGAAGCTGCCGGGCTTGTCTCCGCACCCCGAACCTCCGCCCCCGCAGGAGCTGGGAGCAGCGCCCATTTTCCATCCCTTCTGCTTTCAAACCCTGCCGCTCGTCCCCCGGCCAGGGCTGGAAATCCCCACTGACACACGTTCTCTAGATGGCTTCACGGCACCCGCACGCACGGCCGAGGGCTGGTGTGGCTCGGCCGGGTGTGTCCCACCACGCGACCTCGGCGCCTTGCTTATCTCTCCAAAACCAACCGCCACTGGAGCGTTCTCGCTGCCTGGTTTTTAGGTGCAAGCCCCACGTATGGGGCGGAGGGACACAAGCCACCTTTTAGGGAGCTGCTGCGCAGATCCAGGGACTTCCCAGAGCAAGCCCAGCCCCAGGCTGGGGAACGGGGGCAGCCCCCCGTTCCACAAAAAACAAGGCGAGGACTCAAAGGGTGGTGGGATGTCCTCCCGCCCCGCCGCGACCTCCGGCACCCGTGAAGGCTGCTAAGAATAGAGCCCACCGGAGGGGCTCGCCTGCCTTCCAAAGCCACAATGAATGGGGGCTCTGTCTGGCCTCGGTGGCACTGAACGGGGGTCCTTCAGCAGAGACCGTCACACTGCAAGAATTCTCCCACGTCAGGGGGAAAATATGCCTCTAAGCCGGATGACTGCCGGCTGCTACAGCAGGAACCGTCGGCTGAGCGGTGCCTCCACACCACCACTCCTCCGACGGCACCCATGGGTGTCCCCAGAGCAAAGGGTTTGGTGTCACACCGTCCCTGTGCCATCCTCCCTTGGAGGTCCCTGGCCACCTTCCTACCAAAAACCAAAATACACAGGGCGGCCACTTTCACTGGCGTGGTACCACACGCCGTGCCCGGGAAGGCACAGCCTGAAACGTGTCATCCTCACTCTCTCTCGAGACAGTTTCACACCCCCACCCCTCTCAACGGCCTCTGTTTTGTTTTCCTTCCTTCAAACAACAAGAAAAGAAAAAAAAAAACCCTAATAAAAAAAAAAAAAAAGCGGCGCACCTATGCTTTTTCACTCTGTGGTTTGTGGTTCCAACCCAACAAAACAATTGGGCATAGCAACATCTCCAAAACACCCTGCGCCTCACTCACGTGCCTGCCCTGCCTGAGCCCCCTTCGATGGCACGAAGGTCCCCAATTTCCCCCCACCCTGTTGAGGGATGGCAAAGCTCGTCCCCATCGCCCTCTTGTTAGACCAAGCCCAACCGCCTCCTCCCAAGCTCCTGCCCAGCCTGGGGCAGGTAGTCACGCCACCGCAAAGTGTTGGCTTTGCACGGGTGGGAGGGCTGTGATGGAGCTCCGATAGAAGCATCACCAAAGAAAAGAAAGCAGGGAAGGACCCAGAAAGTACCTTCCTTGGGGAGCCACATGCTTTTTGGCTGTGCTTGTAGAGAGGAGAGCAGCCAGGTGGGCCATTCTGGGCCAGTTCTGCTTTCCTGATGCATCCCCCGCTCTGTTCTGCGGGAAAACATGCTGGGAGGAGTGGTCTCACTCCAGAGGCATCTGGCAAAGCACGAGGGGTTTCGTGAGCTTCACATCTCGGTGGTCCTGCAGGCCACGAGCTGTGGTGCAAGGCTCCAGCCCGTTGCTCGAAGGAGAGCCAAAGCCTTGCCATCGCCTCCAGGCCGCGGAGGAAGCGCTGCGGGCGGCTGCAGCAGCTCTGGTGAGAGCTGAGCCGCCGTCACGGGTGGGCAGCGTTGCGTGGGGCTGGTTTCACTGCCATCTGCACATGTCTGGCAGGTGGAGCAGGAGCCACTGAACCAGCCCCGAGCCCCACCCTTGAGCTCCCCACCTCGCAGAGGCAAAAAGGG